TTTTTTAAAAGAAAAACAAGGCGTGAAAAAAAAAATAAGAAAAAAAAAAAGTTTTTCCTTTCTTTTGTCTTGCGATTATGTAATTTTAGATAAAGCCATAAATTTATCGTAAATTTTTTTTTTTTATGTATTTAAAGTTTGAAAAGGTTTTAAATTTGTTTTTCGAAATTATTTTTATTTAAAACGTTTTTTTTGCACGAACGGATTACGTATAAATAATTAATAATTTTTTTTTGTTTTTGCATTTGCCACGAAATAAAATTAATTTTAATTTTTTTGCAATGTAGCTTATAATTATTTTTACACCCGAAAATCTTAAAAATAACTCCTTTTTTTATACACACAGAGGTGACCTTAACTCTTTAAATAAATTTTCACGTTTGATAAAATAAAACACATTTTTTGACTGACATTTGAGGCGTTAGTTTTTCTTTTAGTTTTTACACCTCAAACGATAAATTTTATTTACATAACCTGAAATTAATTAATTATAATTTAATATCGAAAAGAAATAATAAAAAAATTTAAGTAGAAAACCATTTATTGTTTTTTTTTTTTTTTTGTTAATTTACGTCATTATTTTTTTTTTTTAATCGAATTCCAATTTTTTTTTTTTTTATTACCTTTTAAATAATAATAATAATAATAATAACGTGTTTAGTTTTTTGTGTTACGTATACGTTAACTAATAGTCTAAGATAACTGCCAAAATTTTCGTACAAAAAAAAAAAAAAAAAAAAAAAAAAAATGAATGAGAAAAAATAAAATTTTTAACGAACTAGACCTTGACAACATTATTATTATTTATTTATTTATTTACTTATTTATTTATTTTTTTTTTATTAAATAAATAATTAAAGGGTGGTTTGAACTCGGTCATAAATGCCATCATTTTACAATCAAGGAACGTAACAACAAACGAAACAGCCTCACACGCAACTCTATAAAGGCTCCTTGTTAAAAAAAATTATATATGTATGTTTGCTAACCAGTTGCGAATTGCTTGCCACGCTGATTAAATCGTTATTTAATTTTTCGTTTCGTTTGGTTTTGTTTTTTTTTTAAATTTATATCGTAAATATGACGTAAAAAAATTTTTTTTTTTTTTTTTTAAATTAATAATGATTTAATTATTTATTATTTAGTTTTATATTAAAAAAATGAATAATATACATTATGTGATGTATTATTAAGATTCTGTTTTGAATATATATAAATATATGATCATCGTCTGCTTTTGTTGTCGCATTTTAGGTAAAGTATTTTCAACGGATTTTTTTTTATTTATTTGTCTGTACATAATAAAAAAAAAAAAACTTTTAATTAATTATTTAAATATAACTTTTGTTTTTTTTTTTTATGATTCATTCATATTTTATTAAAAATAAAGGTTTATGTTAGTAAATTTATTTAATTATTATTTTTTTATTTATAACTTTTTTTTTAATTTGTTAAATTTGTTTTTTTGAGAGAAAGTGTCAATTTTTTTGTATTTTTTTTTTAATTTCATTTGTTTTCACTTTCACAAAACTTAATTTTTATTACTACATAAATAAATAATTTTTATTTACTTGATTTTATCTAAAATATTTAAATTATATGTTAAATTGTCAAGGGTAACAATCATTTTAAATGATTTTAAATTATTGTTTAATTTTATAACAATTTTATAACAATTTTTCCAAAAATAATGATTTAATGACAAGTATCATAATAATAATAATAACAAATTATTGAATGATACTCGAACAAATAAATATGTATAAAATTTTTTAAATTGCCCCATTATTAATTTCATTATTACAATAAATGACAAAATATTATAAAAGTAATCGTTTACCTATGCTTATTATTTAAAAAAAAAATAAATTATTAATTTCAAGGTTTTGTATGTCATCAATGATTTTTTTTATTTACAAAATAATCAAATATGTTATTTTAATAATTTTTTTTTTTTTCCCCCATTTTACTTCTTTGTTATGTATTACATAATAAATTATAAATTAATATATATATGTGTAGTCGAAAGTTTCAAAAAATTTTTTAGTACATATCGAGTGTAATTAAATTGTTTTGTTTGATTAATGTTTTTATTTAATCGTTATGATTTTATTAAACATTGTGCTTACACACACAACACACACAACATAAAACATTCTCAAATTCATTTGTCGATTAAATATAATAGATTACATAAATGACTATCTGACTATCTGTCGTAAAATGAACATTAGAAAAAAAAAAAATTAAAATTATTTATTTATTTATTTTTATAAATTATTTAAATTGATATGATTTGTGATCATGAGATTTTATTTTTTTTTATTTAAATTTAAATTTTAATCAGAAATACTTAATGATATCAGATTAAATTTTTTTAATTATTAATTTTTAAAAAAATTTTGCTTTGAATTACAATTGAGTATTGAAGGTATGTCAAATGATAATAAAAAAAAAAAAAAAAAAAAACTTATTGATAAAAGTTTATTCAGTCTAAAAAAAAAAAAAAAAATTTAGTTTTGTTCTATCTATTACTACTATTGTATTATAGTTAGTCATTATTATTATTATTATTATAAAAACTTTGAAACCTTAGAGTAATTAAAAAATGGTTTTTTTTGTTTTTTCCCTCTTAAATCATACTCGGTTAGAATGTTGTAGTCGTGACAACAAAATCTCTTGCTAATTCGTGCCCTTAAGGAATTTTATGGAAATTTTTATTTTAGCTCAAGTTTTCAATTTTTTTTTATTTATTTGTTTTTTATTTATTTTATGCTTATTAACACCCCCAAAAAAAAATAATTAATTTGTTTTATGACGCAGGTGTATAGGGAATACATAATAAGTTTCTTATTAATTTTTTAGTTTAAAAAGTAAGTTTTTATTAATAAATAATTATTAACTTGATAATTTCTTTTTTTTTTAAATTCATTGTTTATGGATATTACGTGCATTATTTATTATTATTATTATTATTATTATTATTATTCGAATTAAAAAAAAAAAAGGTATGAAAAATACAGGAATCAAATTTATATAACAATATTAACGGGTAGTATTATGTTAACGTCTAAATATTTTTATTTTAAAATTATTTGGGGTCACATTATTTTAAAAAAAAAAAACATTTTGATTTTTATTTACATCACGAGTACTCATTTTAAAAATCATAATAATAATAATAATAATAATTAATTTAAAAGCATAAATTCGATTAAAGGGTTCTTTACGTTATTTTAAAAATTACTCTCTATATTTTATTAAAGATTAGGTTATTTATTTATTTATTTTTCTTTTCGATTTACATTTAATGCTTTTAAATAAAAGTTTTAATAAATTAAAAAAACTTTGTTTACGTACGTAAATTTTAATTTTATATGGGAAAATTTTATCGAACGGAAAAAAAAAAAAAAATGGCGCCATAAAGACTTAAAGTTAAAGAAAAAAAAAATTTTTTTTTTCTTTTCTTTTAACTAACTCACCGAACGAAGAATTACAAGAATCAATAATAATGTTAAATTATAATAATTAATAAATAAATAATAGTATTTAAAAACCGAGTATTTATTAATTTTCAATTCAATTATGTAAACGTTAATACATTTATTTATTAATTAATTAAAATCTCTGATTTGTGTCATTGTTAATAATCTTATCGAAGGTTAATCAAGGATAATTTTTTTCGTAATTTTTTTAATTCAATTCAAATGTACGCCATTAAATATTTTTTAAAATGTTTTTTTTTAACTAAAAAAAATAAATAAATAACTAAAAAAAATTTTTTTTTTTTTTATAATTATTTTTTCCTTTGGCAATTTTATTAAAGGGTGAAATAATTTATCGATACGTATATAATCTAGTTTACCGAAACTGGTTTTAAGGTTCGAGACTCATAATTGACGTCATTTTAATTTAATTTGAAATTTTTGTTGGAACCTTAACGTTATTAACCTTATGAAATATAAATTCGTATACCTGTCACAGGTTTAAATCGTTAAAAAAAACCCTATATTTATATTAAATAGATTTAAAAATTAATAATTTCTGTATTTTTTTTTTTGTAAAATTATAGTCGGTTTTGCTCGTTAAAGAAAAAAAAGTTTTACGTTTGTTTTTTTTAAACGTAATTAATTAAGATTATTTTTTTATTTATATAAAAACAAAGCGATAATATTAAAAAAAAAAAAAAAAAACGTTTTTCTAATCATTTTTAATAATTTTAAATAATAAAATATTTTAATGATGTCATACTTTTACATGATATTTTTATAAAAATTTTTCTTGTAAATGAAAAATTAAAAAAAAAAACGATTGTCGTGAGAGTTTTCCTTTTTTTTCTTTGTCCTCGACTCAATTTGCGTGTGAAAAATTCATTTTAAAAAAAAATAATAATAATAATAATTTTTTTTTTTGTTATTTCAGATGAAGTTTAAATGAAAAACATATGAGAAAAAATAAAAGCAAATCGTCGTCAAGTTTTATTCGCAACAATAAAAATACATCGATAACCTGCCCGAGAAAAGTGACCTTAAATTATTTAAAATTAGTTAGTCGAACCTGGTACTTAATGACCAGACACGGAATCAAATACGTAAATAGTCACCGAAAACACAATCAGCAAAAGCGAAGAAATAATAATTTATATTCTAGTCAATATAATAAATCATCCCTTAGTTTAAAGGGTTGGCCTAGACGGTGGATCAAAAATATAGGGATTCAATTTAATATTTATGACATAATATATATTCGAATATAAATTTTCTTTTTTTTTTTTTTGCGACTTAATGTAATGTAAAAGTCATATTATTATTATATTTAAAAAAAAAAAAAGCATTGAATTAAACGACGATTGGTTAAACACACCGATAATAATAAGATATAGCAATATCATTATTATCATTATTAATATTTTCTACATTGTATTTATTACTTGTTATAGCTTTGGCAAAATGGAACCTGTTTTAGATAGTAGCAATAAAAATAGAGTGCCTTTAGCCATTTGGAGCGAAGGTTCTATAACTGCTTGTGATAAAAAAATACAATTTGACAGTTGTAATAATATTGAAACCTTAGAAAATCAAAAATTAGCTTTAAAAAATGGATTAGGAAATGGTCTTAACGGGAGGTCGGAAGGAATTCATCATGATGATAATAAATATTCGGAAACAAAAGGTTGTGCGGTGACTATTGACGAGAGTAACAGTTTGTCTTCTATTAGCAGTACAAAATCTAACGTTAAAAACAAACCCAAAGTGCCTGATGGTGGTTGGGGTTGGGTCGTTGTATTTTCTTCGTTTATAATCAGCATGATCGCTGATGGAGTTTCATTTTCGTTCGGTTTGCTTTATATAGAATTTTTAAATTATTTTCAAGAGAGTAAATCAAAAACTTCTTGGATAGGAAGTTTATTTATGGCTGTGCCTTTAATCTCAGGACCGATAATGTCTGCATTAGTTGATAGATATGGATGTAGAAGTATGACGATGGTTGGAGGATTGATCTCAGGAATAGGATTTGTTCTTGCCTCCTTTGGCAATTCCATAGAATGGGAATTTATTTTTTTTGGAGTTGTGGCTGGAATCGGTTTGGGACTCTGCTACGTTACTGCCGTCGTTTCCATTGCTTATTGGTTTGACAAATACAGGACTTTAGCCATTGGATTAGGTTCTTGTGGCACAGGAGTCGGAACATTTATTTTTTCACCCTTAACGCAATTTTTGATCAATGAATATGGATGGAGAGGAACGGTACTACTTTTGGCCGGTACTTTTTTCAATGTTTGTGTATGCGGAGCACTCATGCGTGATCCGGATTGGTTGATATTGGAACATAAAAAAAATGGAAGCATGAAATCAATTAAAAACGCTTCATCAACAAGCAGTATTAGAAATTCTGAGGGCGACATCGATTTTTTATCCAATTCGAAATATCCGAAAAATATGGAAAACACATCGAAAAATTCATTATCAAAAAATTCATCAGATTCTAAATTAAATAGTGTGGAAAATGTTAATTTACCCTCCGTGAGATCCGTGGTCAGTTTACCGACTTTTATCAAACAAAAAGAAAATGTAAGTTTTTTTAAAAATTGATTTTATTAACGTTAACATCATCATAATTATTATTATTTATTTAAAAACGCATTTAATTTTCTTTCGTGCAACTAAAAATAAAAAGGAAAAAGTTTTCGTAAACCCCGTTTGTTTTTTTTTTTTTTTATTTTTGGCAAGGTTTTTAGTACAACCGAGCTCCTGTCACGAAATATTTTTTTCATCGATTATTTAGAAAAAAATAAGAATATATATTTTTTATCTTAACCTTCGAAATTTAATTTTTAAGGTTCCGATGGAAGTAATAGAACATTTGAGTGCCAATAAAGCCATGTTTAACGTATTACTGGAAAACTATCCGTCAATACTTAATTATAAAAATATAGCAGACGACAAATCTTTAAAATCGCCTTTTAAAGTAAATAAAACCGCATATGATTCAATACAAAGCTCACCGGTAAAAAGTACAGGAAATGCTCAATCGATTGAAAATCGCTTAGGTAATTATTCAAAGTAATATTTTACTATTTTACTTAAGAAGCAAAACAAAAAAAAATTAATTTAATTTTAAATTTAATAGTTGGAAGCGACATTCAACTAATTAAAGAAAACAATCAAAATTCTAAATTAAATACAGGAAGTAAAAATTCTGGAAACAAATGCACTTCGCCTAACAAAGACACTTCAACTGGTCAACATTATTTAAAAGACATTAGACTTCACAGGTTGGTAAAAAAAAAAAAGTTTTCGACCTTTTCAAAAATTAGAAACCTTTTTTTTTTTGAAAAGGTCAGATTCGTACCAGAATTTTTTTATAAAAACATTTATAACCGATTATAGGATTCAAATATTAACGACACTAAAAAACAAAATTTTCTAAATTGATATTATTTTTTTTTTACAGAAATTCCGTCGTATATCGGGGAGCCATGATGAATAGACCAAGATATAGATTAAGAGCGTCATCTTGTCCGGATATTTTTCGAAATTCTACAACGACAATCGCGAAAGAAAATGAAGAGGTTTTTTTTTTTTTATATATAAAGTAGTAAAATAAGATAATGAATCGAAAAATCACTTAAATCTAAGTAGGCTATTTTTTTTTTTGTTTTTACCCGCTTTATCAAATTGATAATGACAATAAATGTTACCGAATCTTAACGAGACTTTTATTGATTTATTATTATTATTATTATTATTATCATAATTATTATATAACTTCTAATAAAAAAATATTCTATGAGTTAATATAAATGGTAGTAAAATTCATACATATGAATCGATATAAAATTTTATTAATTATTAGCTTATAAATAATATAATAATGTTTTTTATTTTTAGAAATGGTACGCGGATGCTGTGGATTTGTTTAAAACAATGTTTGATTTTTCAATGTTTGCCGAATTGCATTTTTTCCTAATGTCACTAGCTACAATACTTTTTTTTATCTGGTTGATAGTACCCTATTTTTACCTAGCCGAACATGTAACGCGTAATGGATATACGGAAGTCGAAGCAAGTTTTCTACTTAGCATTATAGGAGTTGCTAATTGTTTGGGAATGGTGGGTAAAAAGAAGATTTTCCTTTATTACGTCACGGATAATTTCTTTTTATTATCATTTTTTTTTTTTTTACAGATAGGACTAGGTTGGGCCGGAGATCAATCTTGGATGAATGTGACAAAAACGTATGCACTGTGCTTATTACTTTGTGGTATTTCTTGCATATTAATGCCGTTGGTCACGCACAATTATGACTTATTAGCGGCACTTTCTGCTTTGTTCGGACTTTTTTTTGCTAGTAATTATTCTTTTACACCTTCCATTGTCGTACATTTAATACCACTAGAAAGATTTACGACCGCTTATGGTTTAATACTTTTGTGCCAAGGAATTGGTTGCCTTGTGGGCCCTCCTTTAGGAGGTAAAGTTTTGAAATTTTATTATTTCTACTAATCTAAAGTTTGAAAAAAAAACTATATTTGACCTCGAACTTGTACAATTTCATTATTTCAGGATACATATTTGACATGACTGGAGAATGGGATTTGTCATTTTACGTTGCTGGTGGTTGGATAATATTTTCTGCATTATTGACAATATTAATTGAATATACAAAAAATCGAAGAATGTGGGGATCCGGCCAACTCGAAATGGAAAGAATAAGCAATAACGTAAATGTGTAATTTAGTTTAAATTAACTAAACAATACAAAAACATATAAGGGGGAAAAAAAAAAAAAGTTTTGACTTGTAATTTTTATACAATTATTTTTAAAATCCTTGTTATGATAAACATGTAGATAGTTTAGCAAATATCAGAGCAAGGAAAAAACTGTCGATTATTAAGAGTTAATTATTGGCTGTGTTCATAATTGACTTATTAACTATCAGCTTTAATTTAACTTACAAATATTAAATTAAGTAATTAATTAATTATAATTATTATTTAAGAAAAAATAAATAAATAAAATTAAAACCATTAAATTTATGATGAGTATAATTAGAAATTTTGATTATTATTATTATTTTTTTTTTTAATATGTGTTATACTTTCAAACGCTGATACATTTTAAATAATTTTGTTGGAAATAAATAACTTTTTTTTTTTTAGTGAATTTTTTTAAATTCAAGTATGTTTATATAGAACCTAGTTAGCAAATTTTTGAATTAAAAAAAATTGTATGAGTACTTTGTATAATTTTCGATTCATTATTTTCATATAAGAAATTATTTTCTTAATAAAAAAAAATCACAGTTGAATTTTATTTCAAAAACCATTACTTTTCATACAACATTTTCCCATTCATATCATTATAACAATAACGTTTACCTTATTTAAATAATGCAATATTTTTAATAATACACGTTTATACTTTCATTTTGTCGTAATTTTAGTTAAAGTTTTAATAATTTAATGCATAATTATTACTGAATACAAATCTTACTTACATTTACACAGCCTGAAGTGAAGCCTTCATGTATGTATAATCCTTACTCGATTAAAATTAAACTAAAACTAATATGGAACTCACTATTCTCGTTATACTTTTTATAAAAAATAACTTCAAAAACATTATTACACACAAAAAAAACACCAAACACTAAAACCAAACTATTAAAACACTAAAATTAAATTCACTTCAACTTTTTATACAAGCTATAATTTTTTCCGCCATTACAAAATGCGTCGTCTGCTAAAGAGAGAACGTTACTACAATTCGATGACGTCATTTCCGTTAACTTACCTACATCGGTATGTTTAAAATGCGAGACAGGATGCGAATTGTTTTTTGTTTTATTATTATCTTTTCAATTTTTAAAATTTAATAATCGTTTTATTTATTCAAAGGCGTTGTAAAAAAAAAAAAATGATTTATTATTATTTTATTAATTATTTATTTATAATAATAATAATAATTAAAAAAAAAGGATTGAGAAGATGGAAAATTAAACACTAAAAAAAAAAAAAAATAGACACAAACAATGTGGTGCGGTAGTAAGTGAACATTATAATATTGTTTCATCACATCCGCTGTACATAATTATAATATATATATATATATATAATATATATATATTTTGTCACTAATAATAATAAACATAAAAGAAGCTCTTTTAATTATAAAAAAGAATGAGGAAAAAAATAGTTACAGAAAAATTACATCTTTATCTGATTGAGCAGCTTAGAAAAGAAAAAACATAATAATAATAATAATAATAACTTGTATCACTCTTACTACCGAATAACTTAATATTTACGCAATCAATGTATTTTAATCAAGGGCAAATATATATATATTTGTGTAAAAAAAAAGAGAGAAAAAAAAGAAAAAATAATAAAAATTCACTAAAATACTAACACGAATAATTGTTATCACATCACTAATACTCTCGATTTTTCTACAAATTCACATGCACTATAATTGATTAATTTTTTTTTTTTTGTTTTTTTTTTTTTTGGGGGGGGGGAGATTTTTTTTTGTAAATTATTATTATTATTTTTTTAATCGAATAGCATCTTATGTACCTAATTTTATTTAAAATTTTTATTGTATAAAAAAAATTTTTCAATTTTTTTATTGTTTTTTCATGTTGCTCAAAATCACATGTTAAATTTATTTATTTATTTATTTATTTATTAAGGCTACCGAAATACATTTTCTTTATAATATTATTTTTTTCTTTCCTTTTCTCTCTCTTTCTTTCTTTCATTTTCTATTTTTCTCTCTCTCTCTCTCTCTCTATATGTATATATATATATATATATATTTAAATTTTATATATATAAAAATTAAAATTAAAATAAATAAGTGAATATTTATTTACATATTTAAAGTTTGTTTATTTATTTATTATTAACAATATTATTATTATTATTATATTTATCATTATTATTATCATCGTCATCATCATTACCATCATCATCATCATCATAATCCTTGTTTTTAAATATCTTTAAAAAGAAATTTTTATTTTTTTTAATGTTTTGATTTTTTTCAAAAAGTTGTTTATGAAATTTCCCTTTAGGGGTTGAAAGAAAAACCAAAAAAGAAAAACTTTTTTGGGGGGGGGGGCCTCTAAAAAAAGGTTTTGAGATGATGGCACAATTATTTTGTTTTTTTATAAAACGATGAGATATTTGTTTGAATTAACAAAATATTGTTAATAAAAAATTTTTTTTATGTATTTATAATAATAAATTATTAAAAAAAAATATTAATAAGTCGTAAGTAAATGTGCTCGAAATGAATAAATGAATAAAAATAATATAATAATAATAATAATGAGACGTGGTAACGACCATTTCATACAAAATTATTATTTTATTATTAATTATTATCAAACGTTTTACGTCATTTATACTTTTATTATTAATTGTTTGATTTTTTAATAAATAAATAAAATAATAATAATAAAATTAAATGGGTCACCTCGTGTCGTTTTTTTTTTATTGAATTATATTTGTTAAAAAAAAAAAAAATCATAATTAATAATAATAATAATAATTAAAAAATTAAAAATCATTTAAATCCGGTTAATTTATTTATACTTCACCAATAAATCTTATTAAAAAAAAAAAAAAACTAAATAAATAAATTAATAAAAAAAAAAAAATCTCATCACCGATTATATATATATATATATATTATATATTATATATATTTATATATAATATTATATAATATATATAAAATTATTATTTTTTTTGTTAAGCCATTTTGTTTTTTCAATTAAACTTATTCGTTACACTTAATAAACTATTGATCGAGGCATTTAAACCGTGAACTTCTTTTAAACTAATATCTAATATTTCATAATTTAAAATTAAAAAAATTAAAATAATAATAATAGTAGTAGTAGTAAAAAGTACACAAAATTATGATTCATACACACACACGCACACACACGAAACAAACAAACAAACTAAAAAAAAATTAATAATAATAATGACTAATTTTTTTTTTCTTTTTTTTTTTTTTCTCAATAAAAGTTCATCATCATTCATTTTTTTTTTTTTTTTACAAAAATTTATATAAAATCTTATTAATTTATTTATTATTATTATCAATATTATTAATAATAATAATAATAATAATAGAAAGAAATAATTTTATTTCCACACCCACCCACCTTACTTTATTTAATATACATCCACATATATATATATATGCATTTATGTATATTTAAAGCAAATGGCCCCAGTCAAAAAAAAATAAGTAAAACAAATTTTATTAATACATAAATTAATTTTTATTCAATCGGCAGTTTTTAATTTCATTATTTTTCTTGTTCAATAATAATTGTTGTTAAAATTTAATAAAGTTGTTTAAAAAAAAGTTAATAAATAAATAATAAAAAAAAAAAGAAAAAATAAATAATAAAAAACTTTGTTCAAATTTTTTTTTTTTTTTTAATTATTTCATTTTATTAATTATTAAATTTCAAATGATAAAAAGTTAATAATAATAAAAAATAAAAAAACGCATCATCATGTATATAATATTTATATACATATAAAAAATATTATTATTATTTGTCATATAAATATTATTATTATTATTATTATTAAAGTTAATCAATTATAAAAAAGAAAAGAAAAATTAAAAAAAAATTTTTTTTTTTCAAATTTTTCTCATTTCGATTAAGTTATAAATTAATAATAATAATTCTTAACTTTTGTAAATATAAATTAATAACACATAAAAAAAAATTAAAATAATTAAAATAATTAAAATTAAAATTAAAAATTAAAAAGTAAAAAAAAAAAAAAATCTTATAAACTATTTAAAACTATTAATTAAAAATTATTTCATTAAAGTATAATATAAATATTACTAAATGCAGACGACGACGACGACGACGACGACGCACCAAAAAAATTAAAAAAAATAAAAATAGTAAAAATAAAAAGTTATTCGAATACGATTTTTAAATAAAAAAAAAAAAAGAAAAAAAAGTGTAGGTAGCTACATAAATTCTACGCAGCCATAGAAACACACGCGCACACACGCACACACAGACGCCTCCGTTTCTTCTCGTGATCAATTAATTTAATTGTAATAGCAAACAATTAAAAGTAAAAAAAATATTTTTTTTTTTTTTTTTTTTTTTTTTGAGAGATAAATCCGCAAAATTTCACTAATTATATAATTAGATAGAGTCGTGACAAAAAAAAAAAAAAAAAAAAAAAAAAAACAAAATATATGTACAAAATACAAATTTTGTTCAGAAATAATAATATTAATATTAATAATAATAATAATGAACTTAATAACTCGGTCGCGCGAACCGGATTTATGATGTTTGATTAAAAAAAATAAGCGAGTCCGAGAAAATATTCTCTTCTTTTGTATTTAAAAAAAAATACGTGCAAACTACGTGCAAAGACTGGAGACCATTGTTTATGCAAAGAATAATAATAATAATAATAATAATAAAAAGTAAATCAAAATAAAAAATAAAAAAAAAAAAAAAAACTCGATCCCTAATAAATGTCAAATACTGAATATTATCTTTTTCATACTTTTTTTTTTTTTTTTGAATAAAAATCCGTATACTTTCTTTTTTTTTTTTTTTTTTTTTTTTTTTTCTAAAACATGTTTTTATAGACGAAAGCACTGTTTTATCCAACGACAGCAATTATTGTTATGCCAACCCTAATTTCAAATCAATGACAATCTACTCGATAATCAAGTTTCACGGCAATACCTCGAATTATGTATTCATTTATACATATAACTAATATATTCTATGTACATTTCATACAAATCAACGGTTTGGCTTAGTAAGAAGTCAGGGCCGGGTTCGGAGTCGGTACTACAACGGTTGGATGAAGTATCTGAGTCGTGTAAGTTGTTATACTGGATAAAACAGGTAAGGGCGGGGGTGCCGACGGAGGAGGCATGACTCCACTTGCTCCGCTCGCGCTACCCTGAATGTGCCCAATCACCGATTCCTGGTGTTTTCTCACGTGTCTCAAAAGGTTGCCTTTTTCTACGAATGTTTTACCACAATCGGGACAAGAATGAGGTCGCTCGCCAGTGTGTGCTCTTCGATGCGAGACCAAATGTCCTAATAATAATAATAATAATAATAATAATAATAAAATTTTTTGTTTTTTAATATAAAAAGTAAACTTATTTTTCCCCGATTTTAACTCTCTTCAAAAGGCTAAAAAAAATTTTTTTTTTACCTTTGCAAGTGAAATCTTTCGGGCACAAATCACATCTAAACGGTCTATCGGCCGCTGCGCCCTTATTGTGAGATCTTTGATGAAACAAAAGATTTCCTTTCAGTGGAAAACTTTTGCCGCATTCACCGCAAACAAATGGTCTTTCACCAGTGTGACACCTCATGTGATTAATTAAATGTTCCTATAATAACGTTTAGAAATAAAATTAATAATTAATAATTAAACACATTTGACAATGACAAAAAGTTTGCAACAATTTTAATTTACCTTTCTTGTAAAAGGTTTGCTGCAAACGTTACAACAATGAGGAGTTTCTCCCGAATGTTGTCGCAAGTGGTTTGTCAGGTGCTCTTTTCTAGTAAAGCTTTTCTGACAAAATTCGCATTTGTGCGGCGAGTCTCCTGTATGAATTCTTACGTGATTATTTAAATGTTCTTTCCTTGTGAAAGTTTTAGCGCAAAAATGGCAACGATGTGGAGACTCACCAGTATGCTGCCTAACGTGATTGGTCAAGTGTTCTTTACGAGTAAATGATTTCGTACAATACTGACATTTGTGGGGAGATTCGCCTGCATAAAATAAACATAAATTTAAAATGTTTATTTCAATTTTTTTTTTTTCCTGTACGCGCCAAAAAAATGTAATTTAAAAACAAATTTTTTATAAAATGGCTTGAAAATCGTAAAGTCTTTGAATACGCTTGTGATTAGTAGTAGTAATGGCGGTTTTTTCGTGGGGTGAAAACGATAGAAAGTTTTAAATGTGAGGGATTTTTAAGGGCATCTAACGATTGGAAGACTAGAAGATAAACCCGATTATCATCTTTATTCCATCAAAGCCCTTCTTCAGAAATCTAACATACCGGTATGATGGCGCACATGTTCAGTTAAGTGATCTTTTCTACCGAATGCTTTAGGACAAAAATCGCATTTGAAAGGCTGCTCACCAGTGTGCGTCCGTGTGTGATTTGTTAAGTGATCCTTCCTACTGAATTCTTTTCCGCAGTAAGCACATTTGAAAGGTGTTTCTCCTGGAATAATAATAAAAAAAAAAAAAAAAAAAAATCCATTTTTAATAAACGTATTTTTTTTTTAAAAAAATAGTAATTATGATGATATGAATAAAATAAAAAAAAAATTTCTTACAACTACAATAGTAATTGAATAATAAAATAATTTATTTGCTTTTAATTAAACCGAAACCTTTGTTTCATCCACAAGTTTTATGAGACCTTAATAAATAAAAAAAATTAATTAAAAACTCGAAAGAAAAAAAAAAGAAAAAAAAAAAAAAAAGAAAGAAAAGAAAAAAAAAAAAAAAAACCAAAGGCACCACCGGGGAAACAACACAGAAGGGTAAATACGAACCTGTGTGTTGGCGAGTATGATCGGTCAAATGATCTTTTCTTGAAAAAGCTTTCGGACAATATTGACATTTAAAAGGAGTTTCCCCGGTATGCTGCCTCGTATGATTCGTCAAATGGTCTTTCCTTGTAAAACATTTTGGACAGTATTCGCATTTGAAGGGGGTCTCGCCTATAAAATAAATTAATTACTACTTTTGACGCGAATATGAAACTTTAAATAAGTTAGCCTTATCTTATATTGTTTTGCATCTATTACGCTAAGTTTTAATTAATAGTTAGAAATAAATAAATAAAAAATTTGAATTGATTTGAAAGGTGAATTGATTATATAAATAAAATGTAACTTAATCAAATAAAATAAAACGTTACTCGTAAGCAATATCGTCTCGTCACGAAGTGAAAATTTGTTAATTAGTTGTCGAGTTTTTTTTTTTTTTTTTTTCCCGCAAATGATTCATAATAAAACTACTATTTAACTACAAGTAAAATGAAATTAAATATAATAACAAGTAGGAGAAAGAATATTAACCTGTATGCTGACGGATATGATTCGTAAGATGATCTTTTCTTGAAAATTCTTTCGGACAGTACTGGCACTTAAAGGGTGTCTCTCCTACGTGATTAAAATCAATATTAGATTCCGAAAATTCATATTTCAATATCACAGAATTCTTTTTTCAAATGAATTACCTGTATGTTGCCGAACGTGATTGTTCAAATGATCTTTTCTTGAAAATTCTTTGGGACAATATTGACATTTATAAGGAGTTTCGCCTTAAAAAAAAAAAGAAAAAAAAAAAAAAAAGACATGAATACGTATGTAGGGTTGAATATCGATACGTGAAAATAAAATTTTTAAGTTCGGACATATTTATCAAGTTTACGATAGTAAAAATCAAGTCACAAATTAAAATCCAGAAAAATCAAAACCGATCATACTGAATAAATTTCTATTTCCCTTCTGTTTTTTTTTTTTTTTTTTTTTTTTTTTGGCACTAACCTGTATGCTGTCTAACATGTTCGTTAAGGTGGTCCTTCCTAGTAAAAGCCTTAGGGCAATAAGTACATCTGTACGGAGTTTCCCCAGTGTGTTGCCGAACGTGATTAGTTAAATGATCTTTCCGAGCAAATTCTTTAGAACAATATTGACATTTGTGTGGGGTTTCCCCTGTGCAAGAAACAAAATTTTCCACTTAAAAAAAAAAAATTCAAATATTCTCTTAAATACTTGTTGTAAATGTGAATAATGATGAAAAAAAATATATATATTGAATATATCAGACACAAAAATAAAAAAAAATATATTTATATATATATATTGAATTTGTAAAAATAATTAAATTGTTTTCTTGACGTTTAA